TATATATATAATATATTTATTTATATATATATATATATATTTTATATATATATATATATATATATTTATATATATATATATTTTATATATATATATATATATATATATATATATGCTGTGATGACACACAAAATCAGCTGCCAGTTAGCGTCTGGTTAAAGCTGTAGCACGAACCACAGAATAAAGGTCATTACTGCACCAGTGCCCCCCTTATCTTCCCCCAGCACATTTACATGCTGCGTGTTCTTAGAAATATTAGCCACAAAACCAAGATTTGTTTCTTCAGAATCCTTGCTCAGCATCAAACACCCCCACCACCACCACACCCCACCCCACATGCACACATATGCACTACTTTGGAAATGGGGTTGTACTTTTGTCTGCAACATGTTCCAAAAAAGCTGGAACAGGGGCAACAAAAGACTGGGAAAGTTGAGGAATGCTCAAAAAACACCTGTTTGGAACATTCCACAGGTGAACAGGTTAATTGGAAACAGGTGAGTGTCATGATTGGGTATAAAAGGAGCATCCCCGAAAGGCTCAGTCATTCACAAGCAAGGATCGGGCGAGGTTCACCACTTTGTGAACAACTGCGTGAGCAAATAGCCCAACAGTTTAAGAACAAGGTTTCTCAACGTACAATTGCAAGGAATTTAGGGATTTCATCATCTACAGTCCATAATATCATCAAAAGATTCAGAGAATCTGGAGAAATCTCTGCACCTTTTCTCTGCAAGGCCGAAAACCAACATTGACTGCCCGTGACCTTCGATCCCTCAGGCGGCACTGCATTAAAAACCGACATCAATGTGTAAAGGTAATATCCTTTCCACTATCCACATTGATGTCGGTTTCACATGGGCTCAGGAACACTTCAGAAAACCATTGTCAGTTAACACAGTTCGTCGCTATATCTACAAGTGCAAGTTAAAACTCTACCATGCAAAGCGAAAGCCTTTCCCTCCAGAAAAACGTGGAGTTTTTTTGTGATTGTTGCGGGGCAAAATCCTTGATTATGCGGCACGTTTTCTTAAAAAACGCGATGGAATATGCGGCATTTTATGCGATGAAATTGCGGGAACTTGCAAAAATTGCGGCTTCATCAACGGGTTTGCAGCCTTTCGACGACGTTCACGTCGCATAATTACGTCACTTCATAACGTCACTTCATAACGTCACTTCATAACGTCACTTCATAACGTTACTGCATAACGTCACTGCATAACGCTCCAATGGCAACAGGGGAAAATGGCTGCTCTTGTGTGAAGTAAACGCAACATTTTTCAACTTTCTGCTAAGATATATGTGACTTTTTTGCAACGAAAATGCGGTGATTATGAAATCATGCAAGCCCCGCATATTTTGCGTGGAAATCGGCAATTTATGCGGTGAAAGTGCGGCATATTTGAAAAAATGCGGCCCCTGCATAAATATGCGGACTTTGGCTGATGATGATGCATTGACTTATGCGATTGCATAATCGCGTTTTTCTGGAGGGACTGGAAAGCCATATATCAACAACACCCAGAAACGCCACCGGCTTCTCTGGGTCCGAGCTCATCTGAGATGGACTGACGCAAAGTGGAAAAGTATGCTGTGGTCTGACGAGTCCACATTTCAAATTGTTTTTGGAAATTATGGACGTCGTGTCCTCCGGGCCAAAGAGGAAAAGGACCATCCGGATTGTTATCAGCGCAAAGTTCAAAAGCCAGCATTTGTAATGGTATGGGGGTGTGTTAGTGCCCATGGCATGGGTAACTTGCACATCTGTGAAGGCACCATTAATGCTGAAAGGTACATACAGGTTTTGGAGCAACATATGCTGCCATCCAAGCAATGTCTTTTTCAGGGACATCCCTGCTTATTTCAGCAAGACAATGCCAAGCCACATTCTGCACGTGTTACAACAGCGTGGCTTCGTAGTAAAAGAGTGCAGGTACTAGACTGGCCTGCCTGCATTCCAGACCTGTCTCCCATTGCAAATGTGTGGCGCATTATGAAGCGCAAAATACGACAACGGAGACCTCGGACTGTTGAGCAACTGAAGTTGTACATCAAGCAAGAATGGGAAACCTACAAAGCTTCAACAATTAGTGTCCTCAGTTCCCAAACACTTATTAAGTGTTGTTAAAAGGAAAGGTGATGTAACACAGTGGTAAACATGCCCCTGTCCCAGCTTTTTTGGAATGTGTTGCAGGCATCAAATTCAAAGTGAGTGAATATTTGCAAAAAACAATAAAGTTTATCGGTTTGAACATTAAATATCTTGTCCCTGAGTGTGTTCAATTGAATATAGGTTGAAAAGGATTTGCAAATCATTGTATTCTGTTTTTATTTACGTGTTACACAACGTCCCAACTTCATTGGAATTGGGGTTGTAATAGTGTGTTTGCATGTTTCATTGTTCAGGCTTTGGTCTGTATTGCAATGGTTGACTGGTGATGATGTCACCATATCAGACAACTAGAGGTACCAGGGCATGAAAGAAACTTGTTATCAAACAGATGGCTGATCTGATCTGAAGGCTGATTTAAAACTCCTGGAATGTCCTGGAATACGCCCACGCCTCCACATTCCTTTACATCCCTCAGCCCTATCTCTCTCTTTGAGAGCCTGATTTGTGGCCAGCACTCTCCCTTTCTTTACCTCGTCTTTCACTCATTTCCACCTGGGGTCTGTTCCAGAAATTGGGTTTAGTGAAAACTTAAGTTTGTAAAACCTGAGTTGAGGGAAACTTCGAGAAACAGAAATCACTTCTATGACAACTAATAACATTTCTCACTGGCAGCGTTTCTTCAACAAACACTGAGTTTTCTTAGCAGCTGTCCCCTACAGGGCCTTAGGGAGCCGTTAGACATGCTGTTTAATTTCCTTATTGATCAGTATTGAAGCCAACTAGTTTAAGATTCAAAAAAGCTAAAGTTCTTAACTTCTTAAAGGAGAGGATTTTCTGCTTTTCTTTGAGAGTCTTTGCTTTTTGGACTGTAACAATTTGTTAGCTAGCGTGTTAGCAAATTGAAGACGTCACTTTGAGCTTTTTTATAGACTAAATGATTAATCGATTAGTCGTAAAAATAATCGACAGATGAAGCGATGATAAAAATAATCGTTGGTTGCAGTTTTAGTGTATTACAATCATAGGTCTATAAGTAAAATATGTCTAAACTAATATATAATATACAGTCAGATTTCACTACTTTATCATCCATTAAGGAAATCCAGGTCAGTGTTGACTCCACTCCAACTCAAGATCTTTTGCTGCTTCCGTCTGTTTGTAGAGGGCATGCATTCATATTTCTTGCTCCTCTGGATTAAAATGGAGGTTCTGCCCTTTATTTACCCGTTGCCATGGTGAGTTATGGAGCTGAATCAATGATATCTTCCTATAAGGGTGAGCAGTTTACCATCTCAGGGCTAGTCAACTCGGTTTTAAGGGTTTGGTTCAGAGCTCACTGAAGATCTTCTAACCCCTTAGATACTGCTACAGTAATATGTTCTTTATGAGTATCTGTTTCCAGTAACAACTGCCCCCTCTTCCCTCACTGTATTCTTTCAGTGTTTGACTGATTACTTCGCTGTCCTTTCACTCTCCTCTTCCTGTCTCCTTTCTGAGCAGTTTCCAGTAACAGGCCTCCCCCCCAGCCCCTCCATGAAAGCCCTTCTGTGCCGCTTTTTGAATCCACCTCTGACTAAGAATCGGAGATCTGACTTAGTCATTTTCACAGTTGTTCAGATAAAATGCCCATGTCTTGCTCTTAAGAAGGAGCTTCACAAATCCTGTTTACTGAGGTGAAACCCTGAGAGCTAAGTGTGGACAACATGAGCATCGGTGACTCAGTGGGCCCGGTCCAGCTCAGCTGATCTGCTGTTGTGTTTGTATATGAGATTTCCACTCAAACTGGCACCTCCCTGTGGCCACAGATTTGAACTGCTTCCCTGCAGCCCGTTTCCAGGAAATGATTTCAGTGGGCGGCGATGTAGGCTCGGCAGTCTGAGGATAAACGGGTGGGAAAGAATGTCAGCAACAACGAGGGTTGTGCTGCAGAACTGACGGGATGCAGAGGGGAGGGGAGCTGGAACATTTTTAAAGCCAGAGTTGTCGTGACCGGGTCCCAATGCTGAATTTAATCATGTGAATTTTTCCTTTTAATCAATGAGGTCTTGTTATTAATGTGCACAGCATGGATGCAGGTGGCTTTTGGGGGGTTTTGCTGGTAGCGATACCTGTATGGTTAATGCGGTAGATGGAAATTTCCACACGTGACTGTGTGGGTTGTGACAGTCATAGGGACACCCAGCTGTGGGTGGCTCAGCAGCAGTTTGTTGTTTGAGGCCTAGAGACCTTTAAGAAGGGAATCTACCTGACGGTCTGAACCTGAACCTGAATCTTTGTTTTTTTTTAAAAGTGAGTTTTGGGAATTCAAAGGGGGTTTTTCAGATTTGAATACATTTCACATAGTCAGCAACAAATACCCTTTATCAATAATAACTTCCACATATGTATTAAGACAATAATGTCTGACATCTTTTTTTCTGCAATAAAAGTAGTTCCACATTAAAAGGGCATCTTACTCAGTCTACCTCATTAAAAATGTCAGAATCTATGAATATGAAAGTTTTGTTTATTTCTAAAGTTTCCCTGCTGGACACAAGATGTCTCCTCCTTCACTGTAAAGTCCATTCTCAGTGGATGTGCACTGGTGGCTTCAAGTTTCTACATCACACTGTACAAGTTACATACTGGACCAGCACTGACTTCCAGACTATTTGTGATGTCACAAATCCTGCTGGAAGGCCCCGCCCCTTAAAATCAGATGATCAATGAGCACAGAGAAACTTTCCACTTTCAAGAGATGAATGTGAAAACATCCTTCTAGAGTCAAACTCTGCACTTACAACATTCAAACAGCACACTGTAGGAACTAGAAGAGAAACATGTATATGAGTGGGGGCGACTTTAAAATTAACCTTTTCCTTTTTCTTTTTTCTTTTTTTGCCAGGAGCGCTTTGCTGAGATCTTCGGGCAGGACGCAGCGGGAGAGATCAGGAGGTCTCAGGAGAGTTTCAAAAAGTGGCTGCTGGCGGGGATGACCCTGGTGACCGGGGTCGTGGTGGGCTCTTTCATTGTCCAGAAACGCCTGTGAGGGGAGATGCACGACAACCTTCCTTCCCCCACCTGCCTGCCTACACACCACAGAAGTTAAAGTGAAGGTCCTGTTTATTTGTCTCGTCAGAACTGCTGATGATGTTTACTCTTTTTTTTTTTTTTTTTTTTTTCCCACTCACGTCCTTCAGCGGACTAAGAATCATCACATGTTGTTGAACTTTTGAGAAAAATCCAGATAGGAGGGAGGATGTTTGTCTGTCGTCTTCATGTGTTCACCTCCCTGATGAAAATCGTGTGGTCATACAGCAGCAGAAATACTATTCTTTCATTCACTGAACCAATTGTTCCTTCTATCCTCTCTCTACTGGTTCCTGTATACGTTCCTATTCTTCATGTTTGTATGTATTAGTTTTAACAAATTTTGGTTTCCCATTTTTGTTCCTCAAAAGAGGCTGATCTTCACATTAACCCCAACCTGTCTGATATAAAGAGTCAGTGTGCCGTGGGGCCTGGGTTGCTGTACATGTCTCGTCTTGAAGCTTGTTTTGTTGCTCGTCCCCACAGACGGCTCTACAATAGCTTTGTATGTGCCATATGAAGAGTGAAAGCAGGGGAGGATGTAGCACCTGCCCCTGAACAGCTTCTGTAGTTCCCACTGCCTGCCAGCCATCCTGATCACCAACACATATAAGAAACATCATAATCCATGACTCCATACGCTGATTGTCTCGCTCTGTCCTTCATGCTTATTGTTTGGTATGAATGGTAAATGAAAAGCAGTCAAACTGATTTTCTCTTCATAAAACATGGGAGTCTTAAACTAAAAAGCTAATGGGAAGCTAACTCCTCTGCTTGTTTGTGTTTGTTTGGTTTTGGATTTGTGAACCATTAAAGCCCCACTGCTCCCGCTGGTCTGTGCTTTATGGTCATACTTGGCCTCGGTTTGATCCTGTTTGTGTTTAGTCAGCCTGCAGAGTGCCAGACCACTGTGTGTGGCAAGTTCTCAGAATCAGTGTAACTGCAGTTCATACAAGCAGGGCGCCATGGCTCCGACCCTCCATGTTTACTACACAGTAGCTGAAGAATGCAGCAAATACTGTAGCAACACATACAAATAGATAGAGCAGCAGCAGTCACAGCAACACCACCTTGAACTGTCTCAAGGGTTAGGCATATTTGGATCTACTTTATTTTAACCCACCTTATTTAGCATTTATTAGCAGTGTATAAACATAACAAATGGTTTACAACGCACGATAATATAGTTCTGAGTAGGGCTGTGTATTGGCAGGAATCTGGCGATACGATAGGTATCACTATACAGGAGTTACGATTTAATATGTTGTGATACTGTAAGAAAGACGATAGTATGTCTTTCTTAAAAGCTAATTTTAGGAAAACTGTCGTCGTATAACCGTCAGTTTATGTTTACAGCACTGCTTTCTAGCGGTTGGGGGTTCAAACACAAAATTCGATAGTGTTTTTGAGAATATCGAATATTGAAATCGATATTTTTCACAAAACAAAATACCGTGATACTTAAGTGTATCACATTCCTTACACATCTAGCTGTACGCATGTATAAGGACATTTTTAAGTGTTTCTTAATGTTAACAATCTCCTATGAAGCATCTATCACTGGCATATTAACAGTTAATGAATCATAACTTTTTTAATCATATTTAATGATGTATAATTACACACAAATCCTGACAGTGTGATATTAGACATTTATTATACCTTGATATTATTATTTATATAGATTTTTCCTTTTTTCTTTTACCAAGATTCATATTGAGCGGGACGTTTTACACTGTAAAAATCTACTGGTGGACAGACTGTGTTGATCTAACCCATTTATTGCTGTAGCGGTAGTAACATCTGTGTTTTATTATTATTCATTCATTCTCTGTTTATAATCCACTTATAGATGCCAATTGTGGACAATAATACATTAATAAACACTTATATGAAATATCCTTATATGAGGTTACACCTAGATTGCAATGTGTTAGAAACTGTTAATTTATTGCTGAGAGGGCTGATCAGTTCATTGATGTATATGTACAATGAGTCAAGGGCACACAATTCGGATATAACTGAATTCCGACTATCAAGTAAAACTGACTGGTTCCAGCTTCTTAAATGTAAGGATTTGCTGCTTTTCTCTGATGTTCATTGATTCTATAATTTAATATAAATGGAACGTGTTTGGACTGTCGGTCTCAAAGAACAAGACATTTGAAGAGTTTACCTTGGGCGCTGGGACATTGACCATTTTCTGACATTGACTAAAAGAAAACAAAAGGCTCGACAATGACAATAATCTTTAGTTACAGCCATGTTTGTACTACTCAATAGTAGGGGTCGAATAAAGTTTTGGAGTTATTTCCCTGATCATTTTGCAATAAAATCCTAATCATGTGCTGCAATGCTCAAACAGAAGACTATTTTTCCCATTTCTTTCCTCTGTGCTAATTAAATAATTACTCCTTATTTCCGAACCTTTAGTCAAATCTTCCATTTATCAGTGACACAGTTATCACCAGAGTGAACATCATAGCCTTTTCAAGATTTATGTAGCAAACTGATGAAGCAGCTCTGCATCAGACCTTATTTGAGTTAGATTTGATTATAAATGTGTCATGATGTGTCTGTTTACCATCTCAAGCCAATCAACAACTGTCAGTGGCTGTAGGAGCGTAAAAACTAGACACCCAAACCTTCATATCCCATCTCACACACGCTCACTCCAAGTTATCCATGCATTGCTATCACAGCCCCCCACCACACACACACACACACTTCTCCTCCTCTCCCCAGACACCTCAAATCTGTCAAATCTCCATCCGTCTCTCCTCCTCTTTCCCTCTCCATCCAGCTCTACCTCTTCCTCTGCGCTCCCCCGGCTGTCACTGCACCTAGTCACGTGTGTCAGTCACAGCTGGCCCACCTGCTGCTTCCCACAAACACACCTCGGCGCGTGCACAGCGTTTGGAATAAACACACCTGCCAGTCAACGAGAGACAGGGAGAGGAAGACCTTGTCTTTGTTTCTAGACATCTTTAATTTAAAGCTGAAGTCAGAGGAGTGTTTGTCGCCTGCCGTTTCAAGCACCAGTACCTGGCAGCTCGATTAATTTACCAGGAAGGGAGGGGAGGTCGGGTGTACTCCTCCCTGTTCCCAGTGCTTTAATCTTGATCTTATTCCAAATACTGTCTCCAGCCAGGGGCGTAGTAAGAGTCGTGGCAGAAATATATGTTGATTTAGTGGCATATATATCAATATTTGCTTGGAGAAGCGCCCAAATGAAGATACTTGAACTCGAAAACATTATTGTGGCACATTAGTGAAGCATTGAATAGAAAAGGTGGCATTAGACATTTTTACAACTACAGATCATGAAAGTAACATGTTATTTTTTAAAATTAATGTGTTAAATTTGACAGCATTTGATGCAAAACTCTGGTGGCAGCTGGGATGGGCAGGCTTTTTTTTTTATAGGCGTGGCAGCTGCCACCCCTCGAGGTCCGCCCCGTCTCCAGCTAACAACAATGCGTCCGGAGTTCTATTCATGTGTGTTCTAGCAGCTCAATAAAGCACAATACAGCTTTGTTGCAGGACAGGCAGGCGCCATTTTCTCATCAAAGAAGGGTTCAGGATTGAGCTGTGTGGAGCCCAGAGTCAACGTAGAGGGAAGGGAGGGTAAAAGAAAAAGAATCTGGACTGACGCGTGAAACGTCCCATCACTTCACTGTCAGTGCGAGTGTCTCTCTCCATCCATGTCCACTTCTGCTCCTTTCCATCGTCACAGGTCACATCATCATGAACATTTACACACATGGGATTCTCTTTCTAAAGTCCTTCCAACAAACATTTCACCAAATAAAGGCAAACTGAATATCATCCTCCAAACTCTTGTGTCCAGAGCATCTTATTAGCTGAGCTCTGCTCTCATACATTCCAGTACAGTATATATTTTTCTAGTGTGTGCCCCACCAAGAAGCTGCTCGCAGGCTTTTCTCTGCTGTCCTGGCCCTCACTGAAACAAGTTCCCTTCCTACACGTGTGTGTGTGTGTGTGTGTGTGTGTGTGTGTCTGTATGTCTGTGTGTCTGTGTCTGTGTATGCGTGTGTGTGTGTCTGTGTCTGTGTGTGTGTGTGTGTGTGTGTGTGTGTGTGTGTGTGTGTGTGTGTGTGTGTGTGTGTGTGTGTGTGTGTGGCGAAATGTTCTTGAAGGAGGCACAAATGAAGGAGGTGTGACAGCATTGACACAATGCTATATATATATATATGCTAGTTATTTAAACTGATTAGAATAGTATGTTAGCTTAGTAACATATTTAAGAAAAACAGAATTGATGATGGCTTTTAAACATTATTTATATTTGTTGTAAAAAGCATAATTGTGCCCCTTCAAATGGCCTTAACTCCATCTTTACGTTGATGTGTGTCGTCATTTGTTGTGTTCTTTTTTTAAGATTATTGGACTGCCACTAGACAAGAAAATGCAAACAAAGTGAGAGGATATTTTCAGAAAGTTAGGTCTCCAATGCATTCTTGTCAGTCATGATGAATACAGAGTTAAAGATCGCAACCATGTCCAATGGTCTGTTTGTCTTTGAATGCCATTGTAAAATTTGAAATGACATTGAACCTAATAAAGCCCATGTTGAAAGATGTACTGAGTCTGTGTCGTGGTCTGTTAAAGCATGCGTTCATGGAGAATTGTCCATTAAGACACATTGAATATTCAAGGTATTTCCAGAAGAAGGAAAGGTTTTTTAGCATTTCCAAAGCAGTTTACACACCGGCCTAAACTCAGTGCCGCTGGACAAAATGAAGCAAATATTTTCATCAAACAAACAACTTTTTTTTTTTTTTCAATCAATCATAACGCATAACACAATTGACAAAAAATAAATAAAAATACAGCTAATTAATGTGAATTGGTCCGTGTACCGAGGCAGAGTCCTTGCTACAGCGGCCAGATGTTCGACCTGTGGCCCTTTGCTGCCCTTTCCTGTCAATGTTCAGCTGTCACTATTTAATGAAAGCCAAACTAAATGTCGGTTGAGGCTCAATTTGTGCTCTATGCCTGTGCCATTTGTTGATACTGTACACAGTTACAGTATGTGCCAAAAAAAAGCCAAGCAAGCATATGTAATGCTGCATGAAAACTATTTTAAAGGTGATTTTAATAGAGATAACAGATCTTTTTTTTTTTTTTTTTACACTTCATTTTATTCTTATGTGCAGGTATTTTTGTGCAAATGTAAGACAATAAGCTCCCACACTAGACAAAATGGGACCCCCAGGTGGCATGTGTGTGTTATGTCTATGCTGCCTGAAATATTTGAGTCAAGCCACAAAGAAACCTACTACTGAAGCCCTGGGTCCTCCTTTGACAAATGCTGATCCACTATGTTATAATTATGCAAGCATTATGATAGTGACCAAGGGCATGATGAAGACAGAATAATAAAACTAGTATTCACAGGGCTCCTTTTTGATTTTAAGGGGTTTAAACTCAAAATATACACAATAGGCCTATATTTCAGCTTTTCAGGCACTGAGTTTGTCAATAAATCAGCCTATTAAGTATGTATGATTGTAAAATTAAAATATGCATAATATAGGCAGAATTGTTTTAAAAGTTCACAAAAATTATTAATTTGTTAATGTGTTATTCACAGAAAATAAGTTATTGTGTTCACTGTTTGGGTTCATTATACATTTTATCATTAGCTCTGTACTGTTATTGTTATACGTCCAAGAGAATATAAAATATCCATAAAATATGTCATCAGTTTACTTGGACAGAAAAAGGGTCTCTTAAGGAAAAAGGCTGGAACCACTGCTGTAAGGCGTCACACTTCTAACAAAAAAAGAGAATTAACTATTACAACTAATGTAAAAAATGTGGTTAGTTTAGATTAAGTTCTATATCCTCATAAACTTGGGATCTATTTTCTACCGTTCAACAATGAGAGTCTACAGTTGCTACTGGTTCTTTGCTGCCGGTTTGTTAGAAATAAGTTTCATGGTAATCAATCAAATAGATTGGATATTTCTCTCTGGACTGAAGTGGTCCATGTAGCCACAAAAGGACTTTTGCACAGGAGACATACTGAGGTGTCACAGCAGGAAAAGCACAGGTGTAAATAACAAGATTAATAGCAAGTGTCACTTCCTTGTCACTGCTATTGTGCACGCTGCTCCGCTGTCACGGCTTACTGGCACACTTAATGGAGCCGAGCCATTGTTAATATTATTAGCACCTGAGCTTTAGCTATTGTTACAAGTCAAAATGTCTGCTAAGAAAAGAGGTTTAGATTAGCATTCATATGGCAGAATATCAGGAGAAACACATTTTGTATTGTGCTGATATTGTGTGTATATCATCATAATACTACTCTACTAATACTTTACCTTGTTGTTTACCTGTTCTTTACAATAGTTATTAATGATCCATTTTTTTGTGATATGTATGAACCCCATCAACTCACTGTCTTTAGATACCAGAAGGCAGTTCCATTAGTTCATATTAATATTTAATGCATTCATTTCAATAAACCAGTTGAGAGCCACATACCTCACTGTATTTAAGACAGAATGAGCTCTGCCCCTGTTCACTCAGTTTCTATGGAAACTATTTGCTCTTGCTTCTAATGTTTGTCTTTTATAATTATGAATTAATGTCAGGATTTAGTTTTATGTGTGTTGTTTTCTTCAGAATCTGCCATGTTTTAATTCTCTGTGTTTCTCTTAAAGAACCTCCCAACAGCTGGTGAAAAGCAGTGGCTGAAGAAGTGCTCAGATCCTTTACTCAAGTAAAACAGCGATACAAAAATGTATATAGCACTTCATTTCCAGTAAAGTCCTGCATTTTAAGTAACCAAGTATCCTCCTCAGTAAAATGTACTAAAAGTATCTACAGTAAATGTAATGTTACATATGAAGGAATACCAATCTTATGAAGCTATTTCTGTCTGTAACTGAGTTGTAAAAACTTTATTTTCTTAAAACAAGTGTAAAAAGTGCAATAAAAAAATATTTCAACCCTTTTTTAATGTCGGGTGATCCAAAAAGTGAAAACAGGTTGAAATATTCCTAATTTAAACTATAGGTCCAGTGTGTAACATTTAGGAGGAACAATTGTCATAAAGAGAATATAATGTTCATAGGTATGTTTTCATTAGTGTATAATCACCTGAATATAAGAATTGTCATGTTTTAGTTACCTTAGAATGAGCTGTTTTTATCCACAGATGCCCTAAGTCACCTTCTGTCGAGGACTGCCATGTTGTGCCACCATGTTTCTACAGTAGCCCAGAACGGACAAACCAAACACTGGCTCTAGATAAGACCTTCTGCATTTTTCACAAGTCATGGTCACCGTAGTTTCTCCTACACACGTCACAGCCTCATCTCATTCGTAGGTCATTAAATACAGACTCAAGTGGTGTTAGTTGCAATTTAAAACTTCACCGCTAGATGCCACTTAATCCTGCACTCTTGTCCTTTTAAAGGTGTAATATCAGACTAAAATGACTTCATTAAATGACTGTAATATTTTTTTAAATCACTGAACAATACTTATAATTGTAGAAGCTGATTAAACCTTTTGTATGAAAAATCCAGCACCCTAGCTGCTAACTATAGCTGTCAAATAAGTGCATTGGTGTAAAAAGTACACTATTTCTCTCTCAAATATACTATCAGTATGAAGTAGCATAAAATAGGACTACTCAGGTAAAGTAGCACAGAATTGTACTTAGTTGGTGATTCGTTAGTTGTTAACAGGGGTGATGCCCCCACACCAGCAGCATTGTAATAATGTTTAGTTTTCAAAACAAACAGTTTGGTTGTTTCAGTTCAGGCCCGGTGGATTCTTGCCCAAAGGAGCACCAGGAGGAGCCAGAGGAACCTTCACAGATTAACTGTCTCATGTTCTACTGCCAACACAATTAAGGTTTCAGCAAATATGACAAAATATTATTTTAATAAATGTTACCTACTGCAGCTTTAAGTTACTTTCCACTACTGGAGAAATGTAATGACTCCTCATGAAATCAATGGTCACATTCTTAGTTTGATTATGTTTTTGTGCACTGCTTTGGATTTGAACGAATATGATAATAATAATATAATACTCCACACACAAAAACTGCCAGAGAGAGACATAAGCAAAACTTTATTATTATTATTATTAGTATATGGTTACAACAGGACGGTGACAGAAGGTCTGACTGAGAGCCGCAGGTGGCACAGAATAAAAAAGACCCCAGAGATATGGACAGTGGATAAATCCTTCTTTCTAGTGGTTTTGATAGTTGTAATGCAACATTCAGATTGAGCCTGACTTCAGCAGCAGCTTCACAGAGGTCTGAGGTTGAAGGGTCCAGACTCTATGCCACCTCCGCCGCAGTCTCTTTACTTCCACTGGCCCTTCTCGTAGTCCCACTTGGACGAGAAGCCCTCGATGGGGTTGATCCTCATGTCCAGCATCCTCTTCAGCTGCTTGGCCTTCCACTCGTCAGTAAAGGTCCTGGGGCGCTCGGGGTAGACTAGAATAAACAGGGAATAGAGATGTATGTAGGACTGTATGTAGATTTATTCTGGTAACAGAAATTTGACTGACCTGTCACACTCTGGTGTAACTCTGTGGTTCCCAACCCTTTTCGTACTAAAAGGAGTTTTTAATTGGTTATGAAACAATTAAATCTCAATGTAATACTGATGCCTCTTTATGACATACATAAACAAACAAGACCGTCAAGATTGTCTATATAGTTATTCTTAATGCCTGCTATGTGGTGGGATTTACCTTGAAATCAATTAAACGAGGCGGTAAAACACTAGTGCTTTTGTCCACAGGGGTCACCAGACTGAACACAAAGTGAAAGTCCCTTATAGGGGCTTTAAGGGACCCCTTTTCAATAGTTGAGGAAACTGACGACCCTTGACTAAGTGACACATTTTATGGATATTTTGTAATATATTCAATGCATAACAATAACAGTAGAGAACAACTAATAAACTGTACAAAGAACTGAAGGAAGTTTGTGTAAAACAATTGATTTGTATGAATTTTGATCAGATTATTTCCTGTGCATATTGTGCATTGAGAAGAGTTTTCCGGATATTTTTAGTGATTTTTAATACAGTTCTCTGTGGATAATATGTTTGTTTTTTTGTTTTTTTTTTACAATCACACATACTTAACAGGCTTCTTTTTTCACAAATTCAGTGTTTTCTTCTCATTGTTCTATTAGGTTGTTGCTGTTGGTTGTTTTAATGCAGAATTTTCTAATGCAGGACGAGGCTGTTGAGCAGAGAATGAAGGCTCAGTTCTTCAGGTCTTCACCTGTGCTTACGCTGTTTATATCTTATGATAATAATAATCTAAACTTTTAAAATAATTTCTTCACAGAAATAAATTAAATGCAGCCTACTGTGTATATATATAAAAAAAGGTGTTTTACACCGCTTAAAATCACGAAGGCCTTACGACCCCCCACAAAGCTTTTGCGACCCCCAGGTTGGGAACCAGTGGTGTAACTCGTGACAATATTAAAGCCTGAAGTCCTTTCAAGATGAGTCACTTCCGTGGCTCTGGTGGTGTGCATGTTAGCTAACTGGTTCTGGCTTACTGGGAAACTTAAAAGCAACAGCCATGGTTAATGTTGTTAGTTAGCGCTGTGCTTTTTCTGTCAACATGTCTGCTGTGGAAAACACTCAAGTTTAGAGGCTCGTCAAACGTAAAAGAGATGAGTTTGTCCTTGCAGGGTATGAAGGCAGGTTTACCGTAGGCTGCCTGCCACCAGACCACCAGGCCAGTGAAGCCCAGAAAGAAGAAGACACCGCCCATGACAGTTTTCCACTCTGCTGACGGCTGCTTCATCTCTGCGTAGGTCTGACGGAACGTCACCCGGTACACTGCAGGGGGGGAGGGGGGGAGAGAGGAAGTGAAGGACAGGAGAGATGGGTGAGACACAGGACAAAAAGAGAAAATAGGAAAGTATAAAATCCTCTCTCGTTCTTTTGTATTGGATCATCACCATCCATTGAGTGTATTGAGTAAAACTAGAGTTAGGGGTAAAAGTTTGAATAGTTTGGGGTGTGCAGGGGCAGAGTAGCTGGCCATATAACTGGTCCCCAGTTCAAGTTTGTCATGCTCCCTCTGATTCTCCATGTTTCCTGTCTGAATCTCTACCGTCACTGTCAAATGAAGGCAAAACGAGAGGCTACATATGCTGCCTTCTTCCCTTTGTTCTGTGTTTGATACAGTCAATGTTGTGTATGTCATGTAAGTTAATTTCCTCATTTAATATTTGATTTACTTTAATTATTGCACACAATTTCTGAGATATGATTTAATGTTAATAATCTTGTTCTCTCTTTTCCACATTAAAATCCTTAAAAAAGCATTTTGTTAATTACTAAAGTTTTCCCGCTGGACACAACCAACACCTTTCAACTGTTAGTGATGTCACAAATCCTGCTGGTAGGCCCCGCCCCTTAAACTCAGATTTTCAATGAGCACAGAGAAACTTTCCACTTGCAGCAGATGAATGTGAAAACATCCTTCTAGTGTCAAACTGCACAGACAGACACACACACAGATTTGGATGAATCTTGTGCAGATTATTTACCGTTTAGATAACTTTTTATACAATTCTCTCTGTATTATGATTTTCTATATTTTTTCAACAATCATACAGACTTATAGGCTCCTTTTTTGACAAATTCATTGCACTTGGCCATTGTTCTATTAGACAATATATTTACATTCACATTAATCAAATGCTGAGATATAGGCCTACATGAATATTTTTTTAAATTTTCTTACACACCCTAATATCAAGAAGGCCTTGAGACCCCCCATGAAGCTTTGGTAAACAATTCTGGGGGTCCCGACCCCCAGGTTGGGAACCACTCAGTAAATGTAGCAATACCACTCTGTAAAGTTCTTTAATTAAAATTTGACTTCAGTAAAAATACAGACATATTATCAGCAAAATGTACTATTCAGTCCCAAAATTAAATGAAATTATACATAATTTATAGTTGAATTTCTAATGTAATTCACATGCTCATTGTAGGTTTTTTAAAGCTTAACCTAAGAAGTAACAGTAACTATGGCTGTCAGATAAATTTCGTGGAGTAAAAAGAGTCAATCAATCAATCAATCAATCAGTCAATCAATCAATCAATCAACCTACAAGCAATCTTCTCCTCTTTGCTCAGTTGGCTCCAGGGTCCTTTCTCCTTCTGCTTCAGGCTCTTGTCAGCAGCAGTCAGGACTTCTTTGTAGGCTCTGTCAGGCAGAGGGGTGTCCAGACGGTCCCAGTACAGTGGCTGAGACATGTCCACACTCCCTGCCACCTCTGGATGCACAGAGACAGGAAGGGTGGCTTTAGGAACCAACTGCTCTAACAATATACAGTCAAGATTTTTGTTTTTTAAACCCTGGCTTAGAAAATAGTCTCTCTTATTTCTCTCTCTCACTTCAAACACAATAGTTGTCTGTATATATATGGCTGTGTCATGACAGTAAAGCAGCGCCATCTGCTGGTTTGAGGCCTCTTCTGCTACATCGGCCTTCTAAATAATGGATACATATAATAACATATATAAGGTACAATAAATAGAAACATTGAGTAGAATGATTTAGTAGGAAGATATTTCTTATTTTGGTAATAACTTGTATCAGTGACCTTTGCTTGATCTCTCTCCTTATTTCCTGTGTTCTCTTTATATAATAAAAGCATCAAATATCTAAAAAATACTTCTAAATACTGATATCCATTAATAGATCCTTTTTATTTTTATACTATGATTTTTCATTAATACGCCTGTAACATTACTATTAGACAACCAAACATTTTAAAATCACCTTATTGTTATTATATTACTACAATCATCCCATAATATCTGAATTCATGATTTAGGCAGATGTGTGATGATTATGGGATGATGGTAGTAGCCTAACAGCATAACAATAAGTTGATTTTAATAATATCATCTTATTATTTACCTGGAGACCTGAAAAACTTAATTGGAAGCTAAGGAAGACCCCTCTCATCAGACTATTTAAAGGACACACCACATGATACAGCTTCTGATGAAACAACACTTAATTTCATCTGACTAATTAATATACTTTGATGATGTATTTAGGTTTAGTTTTGTTATTCTTTTTCTTCTTTCTTTAATTTTCTTTATTTTTTCCTTTTTCTTTTATTGTCATCATTTAATCTTATTCAATTATTTCTGTATTTTAGATTTATTTTTCTCTTTTTGGGGTTATGCTGCATGGCTGTCCAGGATGCGGGGTTTTGTGTGTTGTGCTCTTCTTTATTTGAACTCAAGAAAATATATTTTAAAAAACAAATACCATCTTAAGGGTTTCATGCTGTCAAACTTTGCTGTGTTCTTCAGGTTTGTAGGCTACCAGGTGTACAGGTGATACACCAGAGTCCCATCACACAGAAAATGGCCAATAAGCGTCGACCACACATTGACACGTGTCGGTGCTCTACAGACGTCACACAGGTGTACAACAGCTTCTGCTATCAACATTTATGACCTTCTGTATCTTTCACTTGTTTTTAGTAAGAACTGCTTACAAAATAAAGCATTTTAAATACTATGGTAAAGCGTTCACAGTAGAAATATTGCCAAATTGCCAACTTTGGTCACAGTGACCAAAGTTGGTGTAACACCAGTTAGCTACACTCAGCCATTAGCTCGCTAACTCTGGCCGCAGTTCTCCAGAAACCGACTGTCCTACAGGAGGAGCTTAAACCGCTTTACTCCAGAGTCCGCAACATTAAATGGCGGACATGAAAATCACTTTGGTGTCATGGTACCGTGACCGTGGCTCGCCATCCTCGCGCTGCTGGTGGTCAAGGCCGCTGTCGCGCGCCTGCCCACGAGGCTTCCCAGGCGCCCTGCAGTCAGACGGAGCATCTGTAAACAGGTCAGTGGAGACATGGCTGGGTGTGAAGGTCATTACATATTTCAACAGCACAGGCACTGCTTTGAAATAACTCTCTGTACGCGTCTTAAAAGCTAATAAACAATACAGGTACAAAAATATTATAATTTTCCTGTCAGATATTTTTCTTATATGTTAGGGCTAAGTCATTGACAGGTGTTTGTAGAACTACATTACTGCTACATCTAATTATGTCATTAAATTGAGCTGCTGCAACGTGTGTAGCTCAGTGACTCCCATTCAGGGGTACTTATATACCCCAATGATGTAACTAACTAACTAACTAACTAATTTGACTAACTTGGATTAATGGTTGGATTAAAAAAATAAATAAATACATGACATATTGAGTACGCTGTAACAAATTAATTCATGTATTCTTTCAGTATTCGGTCAGTGAAATAGTTAGCTGAAGGTAGTGGACAAACTGTTGAAATAGATCCCAAAGTAATGGATAAATGGTTGGAACGTCCAGCCATTGCTACTCCATGTGGTTGTAGTTCAAATGCAAACTTGACCAAAGTGAACTAAACACTGACCGTTCAGTTGTATGGAAAATATTGTAACAGCCATTATTATATGATTAATAGTTGAATAACATCCCACAGTTTGAAATGAATTAAAATCAACACATCTGGAAAATAAATGCTGGTGGTGAGGAAGGGCTCCTTGAGTTCATCGGACTGGGCTGTGGGGGTCTTACAAAAAGTGGGAACCTTTTTAAATCATTTAAAAATAACATTGTAGCTTGTACATTCTCATGCCATGAACCCTACTTTGTGCGTAATATGTAGAATTAGGAGGTAGATTTATTTACATTTATTCATGGCACACGTGTTTGTTTTGTGCCCTTTTTATAGGTCAGATTGAGAAGTATTTTTCACTGTGTCTCTCAGACTAATAGTTTTGTTTACAACAACTAATTTAAAACAGTAAATGCCAAGCCCACACACAGTATTATTTTAAAATTTTAAAGTAAACTGTATTGTAGGCAGGACAAAAGCACTGTATGCAGAACAAGTTGTGACTCACAGAGGAGCTCTTAAAGGTAGCAGTAACAACCACCAGTTCATTAAGACAAGAAAGATGGCAGTTAAGTTATTTTTTATTATTGTACATGCACAAATATGCACGCTCTCTGTTTACATGTAACGATTATTCTCTGAATATCTATTGCCCATCACCTTTTATGTAGCCTGAGCATTTAATTGACCATTGCTTCTATTTTAATAGCAAACAGTGTCTCTCTCCATGTTGTTATTCACAACAGTGAATCAGAAGATCTTATTAAGTGCTTAATAATGGCAGCCTGGATGATTGCCAAATCCCTTCTTTGCCAGTCTAGCCACCTCATTAGCTTTCAGTGTTAAATACACGGCAGTGTAAGATTTTAAAAAAAGTCACCCACTGAAACAGGATTCAAGATTGTGATCTTTGATAGTTCGGATATGATCTTTCACTCCTTCCCAAATATATGTATATCTCTACCCTACAGTTATACCCTACAGTTTTGTTCTGTTTCTCTTTTCTTTTCTTTTCTATGAGCTGTCTGCTTCAATTGTTGATGTTGTCAGTTATTTTATGGTGTTTTGTTTTTGTTTCTGTTTTTTCTTTCCCGGTATTCCATATATTTTTGCACACATTTGTGCCTGGAAATGATCTATGTTGATGTTTGTCTGATAAATTAAAAAAAACTCTATAAATAAAGTGTAAAAACATTTATACATAAGCCAAGAGGAATGTAAAGATTGCGAGACAACGAAACTGCGATACAAATATGTTAGGATTTGAATGGTGGAAATTAAAAATGAATAGTAATACTATTTTAAAACAGTAGATGGTGCTATCTACTTTTTGTCTTTTGTTTGATGTCCTACGTCACTCGTATCCCAGCGGTATCAAGGCACAAAGACAGTTTCTTTCACAAAGAAAATGACATTGATTTGACAGTTTTTCCTGCCTCAGACATAAAAACATATTTTATTTAGATAAAGAAAATATAAGAGAAAATATATTTAGCAGACCTTTTGTCTGAGACTGTTTTTCAGTTTTAATTTATCTTCAATCTCATTTTGTTGAAGAAATCGTGAGAAAATCATGTCATGAACCTAGTAATGTAAACCTTGTGAATTGTATCGAATCGTGAGATGAGTATCGGTACAACCCTATAAGTTAATGCAGCTCTGTTATTGATGCTCAGATGGAAGAGGGATGGCTTTAGGTCATAGTGATTGTTACCAGGTGATTTTTTTTTTACAGGTACGTCCACAGATGATGATACTGGAATTGCCGTAAAATTAAGCACATTTACAAATAAGAGCAAAACGGGGTCCTAGGTGACAGTACTGGGTGGATTTGAGGGTCAGTGATATACAACAGATCATATTATGGCAACACAGCAGTGCATTCACCTTGCACTGATTTTGGACAGAGTTGTTTATCTTCACATTCTGTGATCTAAGTTTCTAAGTAACAATGTTTAAATAATGTTAAAATCTGAGTTTCTCTCATGTTGCCTTTGTGTGTGTCCTTTCATCTGTCCGTCTGTGGCTTATTGCACACTCTCTCTCTCTCCTCACACACACACACACACACACACACACACACACACAGAGTAAATAAAATGGCGGAAATTGGCTGTTAGTCAATTTCAGAGTCCGAGCTGACCTTCTGAGAGGGACAGAAGTATATGGAAACATTGAACCTTTCTTCCCAACCATTATTTAAAGAAAAATAAGTGGATTACTCTCTTCCTTTTTTTGGTGTAAGAAAAGATGATGGAAAGCGCTATGTTTACCGTCAGGATCATTCACCCTTCATGTTGCATACTTTTTTAAGCACTGTGAAGAAATGTGAAGAAAGTGTTTTATCCCTACAGGGTCAAAAATGGCATGGGATTGCACACAGCAATATTTTTAAGCCCTAGATAATGCATTTATTCTGCTGTAAATATAGCACCATCAGGTCTGACGTACTTCAGTCTGTCTCTTCAGCATTTTTAGTTTCCTCTGCTAACTTACTGCTGCACATTTATGCAGTTCTAGAAATGTCTCTGCTCGATCTCTCATGGTTTACTATATTTTCTGCACGTCCGCCACTCTCCCCAGCCGTGTGGGGTTGGTGGGGGGGGGGGTCTGTCACTCTGTCAAATTACTCCTTGCCAAGCACCATTATAGCCTGTTTATTTGATCCGTCAAAGACAAATACTCACGGTAGTCGTAAGAGAGTAAAACTGCAGGATTGGAAGGTGCAGATCTTGAGAGAAAAGGGCTGATTAGGGCCTTCTTTGCCGTTTCTTCTCTGCTCTTATCACCACATAACACTAAGCAGAAACCAACTAGTGGGCGGGTTACAGAGACTGGATGGGAGGAAGAGAGGGAGAGGGAGAGGGAGGGAGCTTAGAAAGGAGAGAGACCAAACCAGTCCAAGTAAACAATCCAGCAAAACATGTGATAAAGAGAGAGAGTCCAAAAGAGAAAGCAGGCTGAGTTTAGCCGTGGCTCACAAAGACACTCTCATTCACCCCTCTCACTCCTCGGGTGCAGTCAGAGCAGAGACTGTGGGGTCGCTTTAGGTGAGGTTACACCAGGACACACAGAGGGACAATATTTCACAGCGTGGCGGAAAATGGGAGAGGGTGCGCAAGGGTATGTAAGAAAGTGAGACGGAAGTTTGCGGACATAAGAGAGAGTAAAGAAAGACAGACACAACCAGAGATAAGTTATGAGATTTTATGCCTCCACAAGTGCAGCTTGGCGCCGGTCCATCATTATCCCGTAGTTGTCTGGCGGTGAGCCCAGGGGCTGACTTCCTGTGGGTAGTATGTGGAGCACAAGGCAGCCGGACACCAGCAACACAGTAGAGGGAGTAGGAGCAGGGGAGGAGAGTCCCAGAGGTCGGATAAGGACAGACTTGTTAACCCAGCACTGTTTGGCTGTGTAAAATTATGTATAGAGAAAAAAAACCTGTTAATAGTATTAGAAGTATCTGATATGATTATTTAACAATTCTGACGAAACTTAAACAAACCTCAAACTAATGTTCTTTTTATGAGTTTTTAATAGAACTTTCTGATCTTATTTTAAACTTAAAATTATTTCTCAGTATTAAGCTTGTATTATTTGCCCTCGCTCCTCCCTTTCTCCCCACTCCACTGCCATTCTTGTACACAGCCTTGTCACCTCCCGCATCGACTACTGCAACTCCCTTCTCTTTGGTCTACCTCACAAATACCTCCATAAACTTCAACTGGTTCAGAACTCTGCAGCATGGATCATCACCAGAACCCCCTCCATCCACCACACCACCCCTGTTCTGCAGCACCTGGACTCTCTCACACTCTTCAAATCAAGACTAAAAACTCACCTATTCAGAACTGCATACCCCACTTAACTATCTACATTGTCTTTTTTATCTGTTTCTTATTTCTTACTGTTTTTACTTTTTATGTGTTGTACAGTGTCCTCGAGTGCCCAGAGAGGCGCCTTTTAAATAAAATTTTTTTTTTATTATTATTATTATTATTATTATTATTTGATATGTAGAGGGGAATGTAGCAGACCACAGCTGTGGTATTGGTATTAGTCAGTCAGTCAGTCAGGTGCCTTTGTGTCATTGTTAAACAATAATGTTGTGTTATATAACCGTAAGAATACGTGCTATAGCCGTCTAACCCTGCCTGGGTTCACAGTCTGTGTATTCATTCCCTCCACCAATAGAGGCCAAAGTACATTCAGAGTGACAATGGCGTTTGGCAGCAATGGGAAAATGCTTATGAATTATTATCCCATTTATATTTCTTTGTGCATTATCTAAGCAGATAAAGCTTCTATTGCAGTTATACTGTAGTGTTTCTTAAAGGTCCAGTGTAATGGTCAACCAATATGGGTTTATCAATGGCTGACAATGATATTTAGAGAGCAGGGTGACTGATGGCTGATATCTAAAGAAAGAAATATCATGTAAATTCTAATCTAGTCTATTGGAGATTCAGGTATATGTTTACAGCAGGATGCATGAGAGTTATAGTGCAGGACTCAAAACCTTTTTCACCACCTTCCCAAAACTTACAAAGGGGAGCACTAACGTCATTCCACAGCAGCCACACTGACACAGCCTTGTGAGCGCAGGCATAGAAAGGGATAGACCATTTAATCGGCCAACTGATTAATCGATTAATAGTCTGTCCCTAGTCCAGTATTTAACATTTAGGAGGCTCTGTTGACAGAAATATAATATTCATGTTTTCATTAGTCATTCTGTAGTTTCTCCTTTGCTTTTGAAACTGGAGTGTGAGGCAAGGGGTTTGTAATCAGTAACTTGACCACTAGATGCCACTAAATCCTACTAGGGATGTCACGATACTAGAAATTAAGTAGTCAATACCAATACCAGTGAAATTCCATGATGCTCAATACCAATCAAACCCAACATAAACTTTTATTAGAAACATTTGAACAGGACAAAAAATAACAACAGTTGCCCCTTTTCTAATAGCTTGTTTTATTATTAAGTACTTAACTGACCAACTACTTGAATCTTCTCACCTTGCTTTACTCTCTTCCGCACACCTACTCTGGTCTCTCCTCTCTCTCTCTCTCTCTGTCTGTCTCTCTCTCTCAAATTCAAATTAAGATCAGCTTTATTGGCATGAAAATAAAACAACAATATTGCCAAAGCTACAAATAAATTACATAAGAACAATTTCATACATTTCATTAAATAAGTAAATAAAACAGTAAAAGTTGTTTGTCTGTGTTAATAAAAAGTAAAATAATAATAATAATAAAAAAATAGAAAATGAAAATAATATATTAAAAATTAAAATAAATAAATAAAATAGTGTGTGTGTGTGTGTGTGTGTGTGTGTGTGTGTCTGTTTGAAAAAAAAAAAAAAAATGGGCGCCCGGATAGCTCAGTGGGTAGAGCTGGCGACCCATGTACCGAGGCTGAGTCCTTGCTGCAGCAGCCCAGGGTTCGAATCCGACCTGCGTCCCTTTGCTGCGTGTCATCCCCTCTCTCTCTGCCCCCCTTTACTGTCTATCTTCAGCTGTCACTAATAATAAAGGCATATAAAAGCCCCCCCAAACAAATTCAATAAAAAAAATAATTAAAATATATTAAAATTCAAAATAGATAGATAAAACTGTAAATGTGTGTGGGTATATATATATATATTAAAAGATAAAAATAAAAAATAATGAATTACTTATTAACAAATAATTATTACTCTCTCTCTCTCTTTCTCTCCCTCTGTCTCTGTCTCTCTCTCTCTGTCTAACACCGTCCCTCGACTGACTACCTCCATGACAGCTGAGTGACTCCCATCAGCACATAGTTGTGACGAATGTTGAGCTAGATTGACGTAAGTCTCATTAATTCTAATATGACTGCTCACACTGAGGTCACACTGGTATCTGTACACCTTAATGTGAAGAGAACCCTAACCCCACCAATAGCTCATTTAAATTAATGATATAGTTAGGCTATGTTATAAACTTAGAACTATATGCTAATTTGAACTGTAATGTGAAAAAGGATGATATCAACGTAATTATGAAGTGTAATTTACGAAGGAAAAAAATAGTTTGATACTAATGCAATGTACAATCCTGAAAAATGTATGTTTGGATAACAGCAGACTAATTACACAACTTCCTATATTCATGAAGGTTATAATGATACTTCCTGTTGAAACAGAGAGGTCTATTCTCATTGCTAAATGTCTACACGCACACATCCAAAAAAAGTCTACTCTAGGTGCTTTTGTCATTTAAATACTTTTGGATAAGTAACATATTATTTTCTAAAGTAGTGTACAGTGGGTTTATCAGAGCTTTTTCACTGAAAATGGCTGCTTGCTGTGTCTGGAAATGGTAATAATGCAGCAGTGAGATGTTTCCGTAAACCAAAACAATGAACCAAAAGAGGCTAAAACGCTCTGTAGAGCTGAGGAGAATTGCAGATGAAGATGATAATTCTCTGGATTCTTCATCATGAGCAACTTCATTTCACATGAGCCACTGATAAAAAAGGCTTTATTATTAATAATTTCTTTAATGCAGTACATTTAATATTTTTGCAATGTGCTATTGCTACTCACTTAAACTGTTGATTGTTCTCGGAATTATCCAGTAACAGGTACACTGTGTCCAGAGAGAAATTGTTTAACAAATCGATGCCACAAAAGAAATTCCATTCACCTCTTTTGTGTCCTTAAAAATCTCAAAATGGATCCATGTACCCATAAATCAAAAGTATCTGCATAGATACAAGGAGTAAATGAGAAACTATAGACTGACCCTCTACCATGGACACTGCACTTTAGTTGGAAAGACCATATAGTGTATGTCCACTAGATGGCAGCACCACACAAACCTTTGAGGCAGTAGCAGACAGAAAATCTCCTTGGATGCGTCACGTTTGAAAACGAAAGCCTTTTAAAAAACAGAACAGCAATGTTCTGACTGTTTGTCAGTTGGAATTGAAATAAGGCCAAGCATTTCTGTTGGTGGAACTGGTCCAGGCCATATTTCACTGGGAAGAAACATGGCTCTTTTTTTTTTTTTTTTTTTTTGCCTTTGCATGCACATTAATTACGAGTATTTAGGTTGAAGTTGTTTATTGTCATATGCATAACAGTGAAGGAGTCGCTGGCAAAGAAATTCTCAGGCTACCTCCAATAGTTGATCCTGTTTACCTTGCTGCACCGTTGGGTGTAGAGGTCCTCCACGGATGGCTCAGTGATGTGCTGAGCAGATTTCAATGGGCAATGCAACTGCCAAACCAGGTGTTGTGTGTTTGCTTAACTACTGTAGAATTAGAAGCAGGACAAATGACTTGTCTTCATCATCAAACATAATCTAGGTCTTTTAGTCCTGCAGTGTATGTGGTTTTGGAAGTATAACCATGACATGCAATTGCTTAAATTGTCTACCAAAAAAAAGAAATTTGATGTTATTGGTTGATCAGTCTTGAACTAATGATACTCAAAAATAGTTCACTGACACTTATTGCCTGTGCTGTTTTTCTGCATGGATTTAATGGTTGGAACAGATGCATCAGTGAGTGCTCCAGCTTCTTTTGAGAGCTGTTGTCTGTCAGCATCATTAACAAACCACATTCTGCCTGACTGGTTTGGTTTCATTTTTGGAAAAGCATCTGAAGTAAAGAAACATAAACATGTTCGGTGAGCAACGAATTTTCCAGAAATACATTAAAAGCAACTTTGCAGATGATTAAATGATTGCACGTCGAGCTTTATGAAATGCATTTATCTCTCCAGATCAAAATAAACGTGCTGAAGCTACTCCCTTGTTGACATGTAAAACAAGACAGCAGCTGTCAGTACAACGCAAACACAGTAGGGCACGCGTCCC